CCTTGAAGTTAATTTTACTGTTTTGTGATATTAATAACACTAATATGTTTATATTTTTCTACTTTCTATCTAATTTAGCTTCTGTCTAGCATCGTCGCAGTTGCTAGGCAACATGACGTACGCCAAGGTAAGGACGGGAGGCTAGACCGTCCAAATTCACAGCCACTTTTTTCTGGTCTTTTCAGTCTACCAAGGACCCGGCCCACCAGGTAGCCGACCAGGTAGGCTGGGTCCTGGACCCGGCCTGCCGTTTTGGACACAGCCAGTATTGCACTTTGATGTGCTTGTTAGGACTTCTTCTGTGGTTTGCAGACCGGCACCTCTTTTTCATTAGTAAGAATGCAGACCATAGAAGTGATTCTGCCCCACTAAATTTGTGGTTAAATAATTAAACATTGAATAATAAAATTCTGTGTCGACTAATTTTTATAGTCGACGTAATTGATTATTTAGAATAATCAGTGCAGCACTACTCCAAAATAGTGGCCCTTAAACTGGGGTTTAAAATCTACTTTTGCAACCAAAAAGAGTCAAACTCTCCAGGTGTTGTTACCACACTAAGTATAAAACAGCACAAGGAAAAATATGCACTTGTGTATTTAAACCTTTTGATTCACAATCTATAGCTGTCCATCATTGTCATACATGACCTCAGTATAAAAAAAATACAAYGCTGAGCAACAATTTTAAAATCCTACCAGCAGTGTGTCACTCTAGTGAGGAATGATTACATCAACCACTGTAGGCTCAAAAATGTCCTCAGCAACTCACACCATGTTCTAGATACCAACCAACAAATTAAAAACAATTTTTAAAAACTGATGGAACTCTGTGTACCACTTAAACACATCCTTTTGACCAAATTAAAGAACTATCTCTAAATTCAACTGAAGACTACACTATAAAACACTAAAGAGCATACATGTTACAGTAAAAACAAAAATGAAGCAAAAATGTTCAGAATAACCGTAAAACTTCACTTATTGWGTAAAGTGATGAACACAAGATCAAATTAAATTCATTTCAAAACAAAAACCAGYGGTTTTGCCACGCTTACCTCTTTGCGTTTTTGCAGGAGCAGCTCCAACCTGTCATTTGCTCTTTTAGCAACCATCTTGTTCCTCTCTGCCTCATACTGGCGCTGGGTGTTATCCATGTTAATGCTCAGGTTCAGAGCTACATTCACCAGGGCTGTCATCAGCTTCATGGCTAAACAGGAAAAAAAAATACAGTAACTTTAAGACATAAACTCATAAAAACTACAGTTCCCTAGTTACAACTGTTCTTATATGAGAAAACTTTTTAAAGAACCGATTTTATTTAAACACAAAGTTGATTTAAATTAGGGATGCACGATACATCRGCATTCATATCGGTTTCGGCCGATATTGGTCATTTTTTTAGAATATCGCTATCGGCCCGATATGTAAAACTGGGCAGATACTACCGTCCGATATTGATTTCCCACTTTTGAGCTTTGTGTTTCTGTTTTGGGAGGGGCGATGGTTGGTTGAGCAAAATCTGTTTGATCATAATAGTGATATTGATGCTGCGTAGCCAGGAATAACTGAAGTAGGGAGCCATGTCAGAGGTCTGGTTGTTTGTTTACGGTATCAAAAAAAGACTTAAGTTTGTTTGTGCATATATGTATAATATAATTTGTGAGTTTGTGTAATATCGGTAAATATTGGTTATCGACCATAATAGCAATAATTTTATCGGATATCGATATCGGTTGAAATTTTCATATCGGTGCATTCCTAATTTATATTTCAGAGCACCTCAAAGACAGCTACAAAAATGACCAGTGTCCACTCCTAAATGTTTTACGTAAACATTTTAAGTACGGAGATCAATATAATCTATAATTGTGAAACCACTTTAACCCACTTCACAACAAAACATAAGCACATCAAAAACATATTGGAGTTGAACACAAGTACTGTCACACCACCCACCAGTTCAGCTAAAGGAATAGTTTCAATAAATATGAAAGGCCACAGCACAAGAAAAACTAACTTCTGTTCTTTTAACGTTTTTATACTTTATTCATTTCTTTAAAAATAACAATAAATTTGTATACAATAAAAATCACAAATGAAATGAAAGGTGGCAGAATAAAGAAATCAGAGTATCTGCACCATTTTCCTCCCAAATTTATATTTTTAAACAATAATAATCTACAAAGAAGAAAAACTAAACAAAAACAACCTCAAACCTTTAACTTGAAGTCATTATTGAACATATGATCAGCCTCAATCAGGAGCCTCTGGCATTTTGTTTTAATGAGTGCATTCACCTTTGTGTTTGACATGAACCATGAATACTTTATGCACAGGCTGTACTAAGAAAAATTATCCTGAGCATTGAGACAAAACAGGAAAAACGATCCAAAAGAAGAAAAGTGAAAACACCTTTGTTAGCATGACTCTTGTTTTGTGGCTGCACTTGTTCTTTAGTTCCCACACAGCTCACAGTAATAGTTTTTTCATCCTCAAAAAACATTATGTAGCTCATAAAAACGAATGGCAAGATTCCTTTCAATAAATCTGTTCATGCCTTTAAAAGGGATCCATGGTTAGTTGTAACATTAAACTTTATTTGATCAAGATTTGTTTTAACTGTAAAATAAAGACTGTAAAAATACTGTAGGCTGTTCAGTTTTCATAATTTTTAAACTAAAAGTTTAAAAATAAATTACACGGACGGGGCC